AAGAAAAAGTTGTTTACCAGAATGATAGGCTTCTGAAATTCAGTGTCTTACATAAACTACCTGAAATTAAACTACATTGGTTTTAATTTCGTGGAAACCTTGCAGAGAGGGAACAATTAGCACTAAGCATCATACAACTATATATTTCTATAACCAATTACATTTGAATTTACTGTTTTATGTACTTTTAGCTCACTATGGCTCCTTTGCAGAGCTTTCCCTGTAAAGGGACCTTAAAGTGAATATTACCATAACTGAAAACAAGCTTCATGTGTCTAAACACCGGCAGAAGTAAAAATAATAGTCAGTTAAGTTGTGCTAACAAAGGTAGGCTTTGGATAGTGAACGTATTTAATTGAGATTCTGTTATTGCTGTTCCTAGTCAAGAAGGGATTGAAGCATTTGATATATGAGGAGAGGCCGGGAGAGCTGGAACTGTTTAGCCTGGGGAAGAGAAGGCTTGAGGGATTCTATCAGTGTGTATAAATACCTGACAGGAGGGAGTAAAGAAGCCTGAGACAGGCTCTGCTCAGTGGAGCCCAGTAACAGGACAAGAGGCCATGGGCACACAGGAGGTTCCCTCTGAACATCAGGAAACACTTTTGTACTGTGAGGGTGATCAAACGCTGGAATAGGTTGTCCACAGAGGTTGCAGAGTCTCCATGCTTGAAGATATTAAAAAACCCAACCGGATGCAGCCCTGAGCAACCCTCTGTAGTAAACCCTGCTCTGAGCATAGGGGGTTGGACTAGAGATCCTCTTGAGGTGCCTTTTCTATGATTCCATGATTTTATGAAAATTTCTACTTGTAACGTCTGCTATCAGCTAACACTCCTCACCAAAATTTGAGTAACCAAACTCTTGACTGTATTTCCAACACTGTTAAGTAACTCCCATGTTCAGGTAACGCAACAGTGCAATAAATTTTATACCAAGATTTTATTTGTGTTAAGAACCACTACACTCACAATAAAATCCAGAAAATCCAGAGAAAGATGCTTCATTCCGTAGAATGTTTACTTCTGTATAGATACTGAGATAAGAATATTACCTTCAAAAATAACTCATACTCAAAGATTAACATTCACCTAACCATTTGGAAAAGTTCTAAGAAATTCCCATCTTTCAGATTATGGAACAACATAATTTACTAAAACTTATTTTGAAAGAATAAGTGCAGAAATCCTGTCCCCATGCCTGAAGTCTTCAACATGTGTCAGTATCTGGAAGAATGAAGGGATAGGAAAAGGAAGGAAAAAGAAAATGGAAAAGAAAAAACAGAGTGAGAAACCTCCAATCCTTCCCCTGCCTGTGTTCAAACACTTGAGTTATCATGACTGATACCAGCTTTTAACATAAGCTTCACAAAAGATTCAATTATAACAATGGTGATCACAAAAAAAGCATTTTTCCCCAAGAGCAGTATTTTAGTTCATCACATAAGAAAAGTTCCATTATTTGATTTGTATATGAAAACATCTGACTTCAAACAAAGCAAGTAAGACAGTTCCATAATTTAATTAATTCTTATTTTAAAATTACTTCTTATCAATTTAGAAAGTCACTGAATTACCCATTAACATCTATTACTAATTTCTATTAACAACATGTCCTGGTTTGAGGACACAACTGCCTAAATAGAGATATTTTTTTTAGCAGTATAAGTAATAAGATATTAGAAGCTCTTATTAAAAAAATCTTTTTTGTTTAAGGAAGGAAAGGTAATTTCAAAAACATTTAGCTGCACTTACTTTAGAAAATCCATAGCTGCTTCATCAATACTTATCACGCGAAGGGTGAGAACTGGGTTCTGCTTAAAACTTTCTGGAAGGTTATGATCAAAACTTCGGAAAGTTAGGTTAGCTCCCTGTTGGTAAAGCATGTAATGGTTTACAAATAGGTGATATATGTCATAAAATACTTACTGCAAGACCTTCAAGAAGTATGAGTGTTAAAAGCCTGGTACAAAATGATGAAAAGGTGTAGCTAAGGTCAGTTAACCTCCTTAACAGAGCCCTTCTAGTACTAAAAAAAAAACAGCTGCAGGCTTCAAGATAACACATTATCCTCTACAGAGAGGCTTGTCTAGTAAGAGGGCATACAGTTGCCTAATCTAGAGTTGAGAAACATGACACTACAGATTCTTGCTCCCTCAGCCAGGCTCTACTTTTCAATTTTTCTTTTCCTTCATCCTTATGGGATCCAAAACTCACTGGACCACAGAAGAGCATCGCAGAAGGTGCCCCGTTGATTCCATGAGTTCTCTCAGACTAGAAGAAACCCTCCAGTTATTTTCAATGACCTAAAAGCATACTTGAGATAAACAAACAACTGAAACGTAGCTTTCCCAAAGTTCAAATAATTCCTGCAATGTTTAAAAAGTTATCCTTTAAAATTGCTAGATTTCACTAATAAATGTTGAATAAAAACATGTTATTAGTAGCATATAGTTCTACTACCGAGTATAGTATCTTCTGAGTATTACAAATTCCCCTTTCCTCAAAGTTGGGGACAGAGGACACACCTCACGTGTTCTGCAAAATTAAAGATGCTTTTTGGTTCGGAAGAAGAGGGAAGGGGAGAGAAACAAAAGCAGCAAACTAAAAGCAAAGAATGCTGACAAGAATCAAAACCAGCAGTAGCTCTAACTGTAATACCCATGCAGGCTGGGGTTATAAAGCCTCCAAAACTCATAAACTAAGAAGGAAACAGAGACACTGCTATTGTGCCAGTGTATCAACCATTTGGACTTTGTGAGAGATGTTTATATCTTAATGCCAGCCCAGACACCTAGTTTGCAGATACGTAGATTCACAGATACGATGTCATTCCAAAGAGCTATTGAACTCAGTAGCAGTAAATTTTCTAGATGGCTTTAAGATGCATCTTTATTCATAACACATTTCCATCTGCAGGTTGCAAAGATACACATGACAATAAAAATAAAATAAAATAAAATAATCTCTAAAAAATAGCTTCAACCCCCATGCCATAAAGAAAGTATTATCTTTCATCTTGGAAACTCATACCATAGCCACAGGTAAACAGTTAGGATTAGGCGGGTGATTAGACAAAACACTAAAAACTAATGTTGTCTTCTTTTACTTTAAATACTTCATTCAAACACAGTCTTTGCTCTAAACTTAAGATTTGCAGGAGGATGTGAAGAACTAAGTGAAAAAAATGTACTTGAAAAATTGCTCAAGTATTTATAAACCAGGAACACTTAACCCAGTACAGAAGTACACCAATACAGAAGATGCAATGTGATTTGTAGTCACCCATCAGATTAGCTGGTAGATGAAGTTTACCACTGTTTACCACTGTACTCTAAACAGCTGGTGGTAAACATTTTCAAACTTCAGGTTAAAACTAATTAACTTGCAATTTCCTCACGTGTAAAAATATTTTTAATCATTTCCTCGTGTAAAAAACGCCAGCAGACCTTACAAAGATTATTAATTTTTAACAAGTGCTTTGGTCTTCAGGACTCTCCTTCCCGAATGTTCATTTTGCCTCCAAAAAGGACTACACTGTCTGCAGTCTTGTGCCCTCTAGTGGGAGAATTACAAACTACAGCTTAATTTGAGACCAAAAACGGAATCTCTAAAATGTGGGACAGCAAAATAATCCAGACTCCTGAAAATCTTTAATTCGAAAATGTTACTGAAGGGAAACACTTTTGGTCTTCTTGGAAAGCTAGATCACAATTGTCAACTCGAATATCTAAATATTACTTCCAAATCACCAACAAAAGCGATTTATATTCAACAAAAGAATACTTACAATATAGAAGTCACTAAGATCATAAGCTTTTCCCTTCTTTTGTCCACGTTGATGTTGATAAACTCCCTTCTGAATGAAAGGCAAGGCATTTGTTCTGTGAAGTATAATTAAAAACTGATCTTAAAAGAACTAAATTTATTTAAGTTTCTTAAATACAGTGGAGAATGTTTTCTAAAACCTTTTTAAAAAGTAATTTATCCTACCTATTTTTTCCAAACTGTCGAAATTCATACACAGTAAGGGATCTGTCACATGTGAAAAAAAATCCAATCAACTCTCTACAAGCATCACGACCATTTCTAGAAGGAAAATTGAAAAGCACCTTTATGACTTTGCATCCATATAAACCCAATTCTACCCAAACATAAATAAAGTTTCTGCATTTGGAATATGCATTTTATTTCCAATGTTGCATATTGTACAATCTTTTTCTTTGAAAGAGGTATCGGACTATTTTCTCTAAATCACTATGGAATTAAAACTTCTGGATTTGGACACATACTTTTACACAGTATTTTATTCTCCATAATGTTAAACACCTTTCAAGGTGTTTTACTATACCAATGTAATTTTCACTCAACTAGAGCATTATTAACACCAGGACTACTGCATTCATTATGGTATATGAAGCTACGTGGCGGAATCTTCAGCTACGTCTAATAAGTATACAGCTCACTGCTTCAGAAAAGTGCCACTTTCAGAGCTGAAGAATATGATTATGCCACCGCTACTCAATTCAGAACAGTTTCAAAAATGCCCCAAACCTGCAAGTTTTATACTTTATATGTAAGGAGCTATAAACAAGACACAAAGCTATCCTTTCCATCCACATTGGTTGCCACATACTAAGACAAGGCTAAAAGAATTTTTAATTACCTGAGGTGCAATGGCTAAGAGCATTGTTTTACACAGCCCCTGTGCTAACTGTCCTGCACAGAGCTATGGGTATGATGGTAACATAACACTACTTATGCATCTTAACACTGTACAATGGGACAGTAAAGCCACTATCCATCAGCCATGTCAAAATTTATTACACATGTATGCATATATATATATTCCCACACAGCACATACTTTTTTTTCTCAACACCGAACAGAAAGGTTCAGTGCAATTAATTATTTCAAGAGGGTAAAGATCACCATTGATAAATTCATAGAATTGAAAAGCTTCACAAAATTTGTGATTACCTCGATATAATCCTACTATCAAAGTGTAGCTTGTTAGAGAGCATGTTTTCAGTTAATCCTGATTTTGTCCTTATTCTGTGAAAATAATGCAGCATGGTAATGACACCTATATGCTCATAGAGAAATGTTACATAAAAATCAACTGTTTCAAAACAGCAAAAAATGTGAAATACGGTATCCTTGGCAACTGGCTGAGGAGATGATCCCTCGTAGCTGAATTAAAAAGCGAGAGTTATAATGTGGAAGGTGTTCTGTAATTATATAATACGAGAGTACATTCACAGAAGGCACAGATATGAATGGAATATTTTGTTTACATACACTTATATCGAGAATTAAACCTCTACTACTCACCATACATCCACCAATGCATGTGTTTTCTTGCAAAAATACCCAGGTTGGGACGTCTTTACCCACCTGGTTTGTTGTTTTTTTGTTTGGTTTTTTTTTTAAGAATACAAAGATGGCATTTGTTGAGAAAGACTTTAAAGCAGGATGTTAAAACTCACAAAGCAGAGATGTTTGCCTGCATGTTGAGAAAGATTAACAGAACAAAACTCAGACCTGCAGATTAATTTAATTTTATGGATCACAATATTTTCTCAGTTTTTCTTAAGCCCTTAGAGTTACTATTTCAATGCTCACAGGCCAGGAGTGACACTTAAATGCCAATATAGTTAATTATTGCAGCAGAAATCAAAACATGAAAGAAAAGTATGATTATATTGTGAAGATCTGCATTAGCATTTACAGATGCATATTTATGCAATTTTATGCACCTCAGGATAGGAATCTCTAAAAGGATGTGACAAGATTGCAAACATTCAACAGCTCAGAAAAGGCTGGCAAAACCCTGTGATGAACAGTATCAATATAAGCTTAAAAATGTTCTCCCAGGTTTTATAAATTCTATGAATCAATCATTATACACAGAGAATCTACATAAAAAGGTCCCACCAGGCAATTACAAGCATGGGGAGGCTATAAAAATGGCCTCACATGAAGCTGGTGGATCCAAACGAGAAATAAAACATCTGGAAAGGCAGACTTCACAGAGCCCAAAATCATAAAAAAAAAAAACCAGCAGAAAATATATCTGTAAAAAAAAAATGACCACTAGAGAAAACTTACTTTGTTTCATGCAGTGTTCTTTTTCTAAAACGCATTGGTGCTGTCCCAAATCCCCAAAGTCCACGAGCTTCCTTGCAAACATCAGCATGCATGGATTGCTCTGGGTCACTTATAACAGCTCTGACCAGAAAGAGCAGGGAGAAGCCCTCTGACTATTAGTAAGCTTGAATTTCAGATCTTACGTATTGTTACTCAGGAAAGAAAACACTCAAGAATAACACAGCAATAAAATCTTGGGAGTTATCTATTAAGCATGCATAAATTTGTGGACTTTTATTTTGCGTTTAAAAATTCTGAAGTTGATTACTGAAAATCAAATATATGCAATAATATTCTGGCAGTGCACTACTATGTAGTAACTTTACATGTATATATCTATTATTTAAAGTATATTATGTATATATACAATTTTAATACCACAGAATCACAGAATAGTAGGGGTTGGAAGATCATCGGAGATCATCTAGTCCAACCCCCCTGCCAAAGCAGGTTCACCTAGAGCAAGTTGGACAGGAACGCATCCAGGCAGGTTTTGAGTATCTCCATAGAAGCAGATTCCACCACCTCTCTAGGCAGCCTGTTCCAGTGCTCTGCCACCCTCAAAGTAAAGAAGTTTTTTCTCGTGTTGAGATGGAATTTCCTGTGTTCCAGTTTGTGTCCGTTGCCCCTTGTCCTGTCACTGGGCACCACGGAAAAGAGTCTGAACCTATCCTCTTGATACCCAGCCTTTAGATATTTATAAGCATTGATAAGATCCCCTCGGTCTTCTCCAGGCTAAACAGATCCAGGTCTCTCAGCCTTTCCTCATATGAGAGGTGCTCCATTCCCTTGATCATCTTTGTAGCCCTCCACTGGACTCTCTCCAGTAGTTCCTTGTCTTTCTTGAACTGGGGAGCCCAGAACTGGACATAGAACTCCAGATATGGCCTCACCAGGGCAGAGTAGAGGAGGACGATGAACTCCCTCAACCTGCTGGCCATGCTCTTTTTAATGCACCGTAGGATACCATTGGCCTTCATGGCACATGGCATTGCTGGCTCATGGTCATCTTGTTGAGCTGCTCTCCAGCAGGTCAACCCCTAATCTGTAGCAGTGTCTGGGGTTATTCCTCCCTAGGGGCAGGGCCCTACACTTGCCCTTGTTGAACTGCACTAGGTTCCTCTTCGCCCAACTCTCCAGCCTGTCCAGCTCTCACCGAATAGCAGCACAGCCTTCTGGTGTGTCAGCCACTCCTCCCAGTTTTGTGTCAGCAGCAAACTTGCCAAGGGTACGCTGTCCCCTCACCCAGGTCATTGATGAACAAGACTAGACCCAGTACTGAGCCCTGGGGAACACCGCTAGCTACAGGCCTTCAACTGGACTCCGCACCACTGATCACAACCCTACATACATGTGTGTGCATATATATACACACACATAGATATTTTATATATATGTATATATAAAATAAATCTTAGGATTTCAAAGGGTGGTGGGTTTTTTTTTCCTCATTTCCACTATTTCTGTAAATATTCCATCAGATATTCTTTATCCATGGCTCCCCCCAAAATCAGTGACAGCAGTTACTAGTACCGACCAGTGACACCATCCAACAAAAACATTGGCACTTCCTCTCCCAAAGTACTAACACAGCTGTGTTAGTACAGTCCCACCAAGCAGACAAGAAACAGATGAACTGGTTTCTGAATATTTTTATATTCTCTGTATCAGTTTAACAAGTAAACAAATGAAGAAATTATTTAAAAGCACATTAGATTCTTTTTACATTATTGAAATGGTTCATAATCAGAAGGAAAAAATAATTTTGTACAGCTAACATTGTTTTATAAACTTGCTCTCTGATCTACACAGATCCACCTTCACACACATCAGTTACACTGATTTAACTGCAAGATTGGCTCTACTAAAAAAAAAAAAATCGAAACACCTTTGTGTTTCTTTTAATAGACTTTTTTTCATGCAACAGTTTTGAACTAATCTTCCCCGATTAATGTCCTATTCTCTGACACCAATTTGTTTGGCAGTACTGGCACATTTATATTTGGAACATAAACAGAGAAATTTTTTAAATTAAAGGTTCATCCTGATGCAGTTGCAGCAGTATTGAATATTGTTTTGACATTGTCAACAGAAGGGTTCAGAGCAGGAGAAGGAATACGTGAAAAAATAAGGCAAAGCAGCTAATGGAGGGTAAGCACAGAATGAACATCCATGATCCAAGATGCACAAACCTGTGCATTAAAAAGACTTTTTTTTTTACTGATCTTTTAATTCAAATTAAAAAGACTTTTCATTTAAAGAATTTTTGCAAATAACAACACTATATAAGACTGCATAAGACTTGGAAAGAGATGATCAAAACACCTTCTAGGCAAGAAACTCATGCACTCACAGATCTAAGT